GACGTCTTCAACAAGGACTTTGGAGAAGAAAGCAGTCCAAGGTGGAGGGATCCTAGGACATCAAGCCGGGCTTCTAGAACTCAGAGTGTCGTGCGTCAGAACGCGCTGGCCCGGTCGGCACAGATTGTACCTTACAGCGGGCATGATCCTGTTCGCAATCAGACTTTATTCTATATGAAGACTGTTACGCGTCGTGGGCAGTTTGCGCAGTTCAGGCACTCCATTCGGCCCAAAGGCACTCGCTTATGGTAGATTGGCTGGAAGAAGTGAACAACCATATTGTCGACCAGGATTACGAATAACCGGGGATATGAAAGCGATAAAAACGATAAGCTACTCAAAAGCATCCAGGGAATCGACCATGTTGTAAATGCTTTCCTATGATTCCATGATGCAAATCTAGAGTTCAGCCACATATATCTTTAGCGATCGTGTATGGGTGATCGGGGAGTAGTTGAGTAGAATAGAGAAACTCAAATACTCATGACGCCAGGGATGGCAGGAGTGCGTGTCGTATTTCACTTTCCTGCATACAGGTAATCAAAACGTAGTAAAGAAGCAGTCTCTCAGACCATGATACTTGGGCCTTGATGTCCCTCAAAAGATTCCTTACATTGGCAAGACCAGAGCTCTTGTTGCAATTACGGAGATGTCGTGATAATCTTCTCTTAGAGCCAGATCAAAAATTCTCCCGACAGAGGTGTCCTGACGTTAAAGGCTAGATCCTAGATACCGAATGTTCGGTCGTTGTTGTTGTTTTGTTCATGGCTACTACTTCCACAACTCGTGGCAAGATTGTTCTGCGGAGCCGCTCAGTCCTGCGCCTGCCTTCAGGGAGGAAGCGGAAGCGGAAGCGGAAGTGGAAGTCTCAGGGCATTTTGACTTCAGGTTTGAATGCAAGCTGCAGCACGGTGTTCATACAAAAGTATGGCTACTCGTGAATGAAATACATAGCCAGAATACGTTCACAAGGCGTGCGCCAGGTCACAGGTACTGTCGAACTCTCTCCCACCGAGGCCGCTGCTTGCGCGGTAGTGGTTTCCGTCGGGAATGGTTTGTAATGCAGGAGTTACTGCGGTACTCGGGTTAGTCGCCTTCCTGTTGCGATGGTTGTAGAGGTAAGGTTGGGCGAATCGGAGTGGTGGGGTTTCCGCGTTGGCATCAGCCTCGCCCGCCGTAGTCGCCTATCTTCGGCTTGCTTCACGCCTTGCGCCCTTCCTCTCAACATGCCGCCGCAATGCCGCCACCGCGTTTATATCCCCTCGCTCGCCACTGCAGTACGTGGTCCCGTCCACAGACTGTGCGATTGACCTCACCTCCAGCCAGCAAAGACCCTGAACGCGCCTAATCGAGCCTTCACCGCACCCCCCGTCCACCCCGCGTTGCACCCCCTGCGCCAGCTACACCCGTCACGGCCATACTCAGCCATGTCGGAGCTCTCCCAGTACACTGCTAAGAGCAGCAAAAGCACAACCAATGGCACAAGCCACAATGGCAATGCCTGGGGCGGCGAGCACAACCCAGCAGCCTTTGACTTCCGCTCCGATGTGCACACCACACCGACCATGTCGATGCTGAAAGCCATCCAGGAGTGCACCCTGCTCGACGACGTCACCATGGAAGACCCGACCACACTGTCGCTCGAGCGATTCGTCGCCGATCTCAGCGGGAAGGAGGAGGCACTCCTGGTGCTCTCCGGCACCATGGGCAACCAGGTGGCATTCCGAGCACACCTTACCACCCCTCCACACGCCGTCATCGTCGATCGACGTGGCCATATCATCAACTACGAGGCGGGCGGTGTAGCAACACTGAGCCAGGCCATGGTGCAACCGCTCGATGCGAAGAACGGGACATACCTCACACTGGAAGATATCCAAAAGTACGCTGTCATCTCCGATGACGTCCACGCCTGCCCTACACGCCTCATATCGCTCGAAAACACGCTCAATGGCGCCATTATGCCTCTGTCCGAGGTTAAGCGCATATCAGCTTGGGCGCGCGAGCACGACATCATAATGCACTTGGACGGTGCGCGTCTGTGGGAAGCTGTAGCTGCAGGTGCCGGTTCTCTCAAAGACTACTGCGCCGAGTTCGATAGCATAAGCCTGTGCATAAGCAAGGGCCTCGGCGCGCCGATTGGTAGCATCCTCGTTGGTACAAAGGAGTTCATCAAGCGGAGCCGCTGGATCCGCAAGTCCATTGGTGGAGGTTTGCGGCAAGCCGGTGTTGTTGCGGCTCCCATGCGCGTTGCCATTGAGGAGACATTCCTCGGTGGCAAGCTCACCCAATCTCACGAGAACGCGAAGAAGATTGCGGGCATTTGGACAGATCTTGGAGGCAAGCTGCAATACCCCGTAGACACCAATATGGTTTGGCTAGATCTGGACGCGCATCATGTTGACATCAACAACTTTATCGAGCTAGCGGAGAAGTACGGCGTAAGGGTGCGCGGTGGTCGATTTGTTGTGCATTACCAGATTGGCGAGGAAGCGATCGAGGCGCTGCGAAAGGTATTCACCGAAGTGTTGACTGGTAAGGAATCGGCAGGGAAGAAAGCCGAAGCCCCGCATGACCCCGAAGACCTCAAGATGAAGGGAAAGGGCGTGGAGTAGATGCAGCAGCCACAGCATGAGATTAGTCGGTAAATGAATAAACCTTGGAACGAATCAAACCAGTGCGCTCAGCCACGCAGCCACATGAATCTTCAGTACCTGCATGTCTAGCGTGGTAGCCTCTGTCATGTTCCGAATTCGCCGGGACATCGGAATCCACCAGAGCTTCCAAGACCTCGCTATTACGTTAAACTTTCAACTTTAGGCCAAAGACGCTGTCCACCGCTACCCGACGTCAGAGCGAACTCGTCATCGAACCCTCAAACACGACATTGCCAAGATGGAGGCCGAAGAATACTACATGAGACTGCTCTGGACGGCGCGGCGGCGCTGGGTATTCGCACTTTACTCCTCGGACTTGCTCTGATTATGTACAAACCTGCACGCGTCGTCACCTCTGGGCAAAGCTTTCTACGACAGACGTCACTTTTGGCAAAAAGAGCTGCTGGACCTTCTGTACATAGACCTACGGCCCGCAGACCTGGCAACTCACATAACTTTTTCGTCTCCACACCACGCCAATTCCACACGACGACAGCAAACATGGTACCACCGATTGCACAAAACCGAACACTCCTGTCCAATCATCCGGATAAAGTCCGCATGCTTGTGCTTGAGACTGATGAGACACATCCCGATACGCAAAAAGAGACAGGATCCTTTGGAGTGGTTTTGGGCCAGCTTCTCAAGAAAGCCGGAGACGCGCACAAGCCCAGTCTAGGTATCGAGACTGCCATGCAATATGTGGTCGAACCGGAAGGTGGCGCCATACCAAAGTTGGAGGAGATTGGTGACGATGTCCATGCTATTCTTATCACGGGTAGCTGCTGGGACGCGCACGGTAACGACCCTTGGATCCTCAAGCTCATGCAGTTCATCAAAGGTATGTGTCCCAGATTAGTCTTGAGTTGAGGGAAAACGCAGTAGCTAAACACAGAACAGACGTGTGGCAACATCGCCCCGATATCCGCTTCACAGGAATTTGTTTCGGACATCAAATCCTTTGCAGGACTCTCGGCGCAACCGTCAAACCCCAGAAGGACGGTGAATGGGAACTTTCCCATCAACCCATCCAATTGTCTGAACTTGGCCGCAACCTCTTCAATCTGCCCAAGACGGAGTCCAAGATCCATCTTCACCAAATGCATCTCGACCACGTCGTCAATCCTCCGTCTACTGAGACAACCGATCTGATACCTAAGGACACCACGGTACATGTCTGGGGTACCAGCGAGCATACAGGTGTGCAGGGCGTGTATATTCACAAGAGGCTGTTCACTACACAAGGCCATATGGAGTTTGATGAGGCTCTTGTGAAGAGGCAGTTAGAGATGAGGGTTGAGAGTGGGAGTGTCAGCAAAAAGGATGCGAACGAAGCCGCAGAGAGAGCAGATTGGATGCACGATGGACTTCTCGTTGCGCAGGCAGTTTTGAGGTTCTTCCACGGTGACGACGACATATACACGTAGGAACCATCATCGGGCTAGGTTCCACGCGAGTCCTCTACGACCTTACGAGAAAGAGCATGTTATCGGCGTTAAGCGAACTGGAAACTTCAAAAAATCATGGGATTAGGAGCAGGTGGTATGTACTCAATACTGTTATAGATGTTTGTCCAGTGTTAAGAGCGTACTTTGCGTCGTTGTAGTGACGTACGCCGCTTCGGCTTTGAAGCGTTGAGTAGGACCGTCCGCAACCTCTCAGATGGCAGAACGCACCAATCGAATGAAGTAATTCACGACCACACAGGGCCTCGTTGCAAAAGCTTGTCTCAACCTCGACCGAAGTCGATCCTGTTAGAGCAGGCTAAACATCGGGTGGGTGATGGCCTTCGGCATTAAAACGCCCGATGGCGCGCGGATAAGAGGTTCCGATATCTTATACCCGGATGCGACCCGGTCACCAACCCACCTGCCTCTTTCAAGGCGTCTGCAAGTGCGTCATCGCTCCACAGAGGCGTACCGTAGGGACAGAGATACAGCAGCAACGCCTTGATACCCCAGCTGTCTACATCGGGTTCCATTCGATACTCGGACCCTGCACAATGGTCGGTCAACATCGGCCGGCTGCTCCCCGGCGTGCATACAGCACTTCGTTCACACGCATCCAAACCCTGGAATTAAGAATGTTGCGGAGCGAGATTCAACGGGGCACGGCATGCTCTCCACGTCCCGGCGCTAGCGTCATGTTCGGCAGGCGACCAGACGGATTAAGGGTGGGCTCATCCCCATGACCTGGGTCGATAATCTTCCAGCCTCGCCTTCCCTAGACCTCGAAACAATTCCCACGCCACTCTGCACTGGCAGCTTCTTGGGGCATCTGCTAGCGTTAACATACCACTCATACTCACACCGCCCCTCATGCTAAGGTCATAACAGCATCGCCATGGCCACCCCCAAAGATACAGCAAGCGACGATAACCTGGATGTTGCTAGTGACAAAGAGAGAAGGAGCCAGGAGGTGGATATCGAAAAAGATGGACTGCAAGACGACCTGGAACGACAGGCCTCCGAGCCTCCCTACTCCGTCTTCAGCAAAGGCATGAAGACATGGATTATCTTCTTGGTGTCTATTTCAGCTCTGATATCGCCGTTTGGCGCGTCCATGTTCCTTCCGGCGCTTAATGTGCTCTCCGACGTCCTGGATATCACTCCTACGCAGGTCAATATTTCAATTACAACGTACATGGTATGTCTAAAATTTTCTTCCTCACATTCAACGAGATAGGGAACGCTTTTGTTACCCTGAAGGCCTCCCACAACCCAGCTACCGCTGACGCTGTACACTCAGTCGATGATCTTGACCATAACTGACAATTATAGATCGCACAAGCTATTGCTCCCGCTTTCCTTGGGACCCTATCGGACAACAGCGGGCGAAGGTTGACCTTCATCATATGCTTCATCATCTATAGCATCGGCAACATTGGCCTCGCACTCCAAACAAACTACATCGCCCTTCTCATCCTGCGCATGGTACAAGCTGTTGGTGGCACGGCTGCTATTGCGTTGACAATGGCGGTTGTCGCGGATATCTCCACGTCGGCTGAGCGAGGCACCTACATGGGTTACGCACAAGCCGGTGTATTGATGGGTCCTGCTTTCGGTCCGACGATAGGCGGTCTGCTGGCGCAGTACCTGGGCTGGCGATCCATCTTCTGGTTTCTTGCCATCTTCTCCGGCGTGCTGCTTGTGTTATTCGTGTTCTTGTTTCCTGAGACTTGCCGGAAAGTCGTTGGCAATGGCTCTATCCCTCCTCAGGGTGTCAACCGCTCAGTCATCAGTTGCATACAAGCTCGCAAGCTTGCAAAGCTGTCACCTGACGAGGTCACCCCCAAGCCCGAGAAGAAAAAGGTCGCCTGGCCAAACCCGCTTGCGACGTTCCGAATTCTAGCCGAGAAGGAGTCTGGGATTCTTTTACTCTATAATGGCCTCTTCTTCACTGGTATGATGGTCACTGTCTCCGCGATCCCAGAGCTATTCTATGCCGCATATGGCCTCAACGAATTGCATGTCGGCCTTTGCTACATCTCTAACGGCGTAGCTTCCCTTATCGCCTCGCTCACCATGGGTCGAGTTGTCGACTGGAACTTCCGCCGCTATGCCAAAGCTGTTGGTATGACCATCTCCAAGGGCAAACAACAAGACCTCAGCAACTTCCCTATCGAGCGTGTTCGCCTGCAGATCTTGATTCCGTGCCACATCATTGGCATGTTTGGACTCATCATCTTCGGATGGACTCTCAAATTCAGAACACACATTGCGGGTCCTGAAGTCGCTCTGTTCATCATGGGCTTTGGTGTCACTGGTGCTTTCAATATCACCAATGGCTTGCTTATCGACCTGCATCGCGATAAGCCCGCAGCTGCAACTGCTGCAGTCAACTTTGCCAGGTGTCTCATGAGTGCTGGCGGTACTGCCGCGATTATTCCCATGTGTCATGCTATGAACCCGGGGTGGGCCTTTACATTCATAGGGTTTATCATGGCGGTATTACTAATTGTTGTATTTTGGGTCATGAAGGACGGAATGAAATGGAGACAGGAGTTGGCGGAGAAGAGGAGGCTCAAAAGCGAGGAACAAGAGAAAAAGGCAAAACAGGAGGAGAATGCATCGTAACATGACTAATGTAATTTATCAATCTTCTCCTTGATGTTCCTCTTAAAATGCAATACGGCTGGATGATCACGAGAGTGGTCGATGAACAATTCTGGTTATTCATCGACCACTCCTGTAATCATCCAGCCGTATCGCATTTTAGCTACATTGCCATACTTTTCCCTTCCAGAATCTCGCATGAATTCGTCCCACGCTGCCAGAAAGTCTTGCTTGTTCACCTTCTCCAACATGTAGTCTGCTTTCGCTTGCATCAATGGATCTACCTCGAATACTATTTTACATCGTGGATTTATCTCGTCACTGTCTGGAAGCATACCACCCCTGCGAAAGCCCAGTTTCATGTAGTATAATTTTAACGCATGCACTTGCGCAACGTCAGCGGTTTGCGGTCTTCGCGTGTTACTGCCAATGAGGTGGGCATCACCCGCCAGAGAGCTGGGTCCATCGACTCGAGACAGTGGTTTCGTTCTTTAGTCATCTCACTGTCTGCTTTATTGCCGGAAATCAAGCGTCGATCTCGCCGCGCAAGGCCAGGTCACAAGGGATCAATGACGAAAGGGAAACCGAGCTTCTTTGCTATCGAAATACCGAGGACTACTCGTCCTGGGCCTGGGATCTGACTGGGCGCGAAGTCGTTGTCTTAACTGTTATTGATTAAGATTGCAAAACCCATATACCTGCAAATTTCAGATTGTTAGATTAAACAGTTGGAAATCTCCGGCTCGTGTTGGAAAGGCGTGAAGCCAAGACGGGCGTTCTCTTCACGCGCACATAATTCTAACAGTCTTTGTCGAATAACGTGAAGAGAATGGTCACTTGAAGGTCTGTTTGACCTGAACGTTGCTGGCAGTGCGACTCATCCTCATCAAAACCATTCATTTCAACTGTCATCTCATCATCTCAAACCGTCCTCAAAACTTTCACCCCCGTCATCTCAGCAATATCATATATCGCGTCAACTACCCGATCAACGTCCATGCTCTTGAGCGGTATCCGATGTGCACCTTCCCATTCCACCAATGTCACCGTACAGTCTTCACAATACTCGTGTAGTAGTTTCCGATGAAGGTGTAGTCCTGGATCCGCCATGCCGTGAACATGTAGTGTAGGTTTATGCAGTGTAGCCTCCTCGTCCACCTCTCTGCAGAATTGAAACCCTTCCGATATGTTACCCGCACTCACAAGAGCCTCGCTCTTCATAAGCTCAGGGTTCAGATTGCTCAGAGGCGCCCGGCCAGCCAGTAGTATCCCGAACCTCCACCTTATGCCTGAGATGCCTGTGATACCGGTAGCGATCTTCGTGCCTTCTTTGCGCGCCTGTGTCTCCCTCGCTTGTTGTTCGAGAAGTAGGCTTGCGGATAGCTTCGCCCCTTGACTGAAGCCCATCAAGCCTACCCACTCGCCCGTGCCGCCTTCCCGATCGTCATCCTCCATTGCTGTGCGCATCGCGTATCCGATCTCTTCAATACATGTGTCCGCATCGATCTCAGGGTGTTCGGGAAGCCATCGCAGCCAGCGTCGGAAAGGCGCGTAGTCGCTGTACACGCCGATGATGTCTGAGTGCGGATCGCAGAAAAAAGGGCCGTCGGCCCATACGAGGCGGAAGGAGTGTTGAAGGTGGCGGATGAGAGATCGCGATTGCGCTTTGAATATAGCGGCGTTGACGCCGCCGCCGTGCAGACAGAGGATTCGAGGGAGAGATCTCGTGTCGGGCTTCGTTGGCGGTATTTTGAAAACTGGCTGTGAGTATGTTGAGGGCATGTTCGCTGTTATCTGTTCTTTTTGCTTGACGTGTTCGCATTCAATCGATAATCGGCCGAGCCGGAGCCTTGAAGTAGTAATGGTTAGAGATTAGTACCGTGAACTGATCAAAATCTAAACGTGGGGGCGAGCAGGTCATGCTCCAACAAGGCTGACACCCAGATAAAGCAGTTTTGGCGGCATGCGACTGACTTGCCGTGCTTAGGGGTCGGAGTCCGAAGCGTGGTTGAAGACGTCCTACCGCTGCCCCTGCATACAGTCATGCTACTAGATGTGAGACACATATGGTGTGCAGTGCTCTCCAGAGCCTGTAGATGTCCAGACTAGAGTTTCTTCCCAAGAATTGATGATCTATGATGAGAAAAAAAGTGTTGCGGTGAGGTGGAATGGGCAGCGACGGGCGGGGAACCGTATCGGAACAACAACGCGCTAGACGCTCATCATGGAATTCGCGATCGATCTTGCTCCATGTGAACGCATCAATTACACATTTCTGGTGCCTATGCTCACTTATCGGACTGATCGCTTTTCTCGTGTAGAGCATCCTTCGAATGAGCGTTGCCGAAGGCATAACAGTAACGTTCTCCATCTGACTTGACCAGCAGAGTGTAACTGCAGTGAGGTACCAAAACGCGCTACCAGTGTTTGGAAAACGTCTTGAAACAACGTTTTGCTTTTTCGAACAGAATAGAACCCAACCCATAAAAGTAGTAAGGTTATGTTGGGCCTATCAACGACACAAGGTAAGGTCAAACAAGCCAAGAGTTGTCTAGAGTTGTGGGCAGAATGAAAGAAGTTTAAGATTCGAGAAGACTACCGAACAGTCCCCTTTTCGATCCAACGCTCTACTTGCACCGACGATGATAACCACGACATCGATCAAGGTGTGTACAGAACCGGTACCCCCTTGGCATATCTGCTTGCGTAACTGCCATCATCATTATTGCCTCCCAGATTCGCCTTTCGCGTGTCTGGCTGCAAGATCCCTGGTATTCCGTGGGTTTGACCACCTGTTCAGATTCCCCTGGTGCTCCTAATATTTACATTCCCTTCGTTTCGTCGAGCTCGCGTGTTCAAATCCTTACTTAAATGAGGTGGTTGCAACTCTCTAAGCTGCCGTCTTGGGGGCACCTGCGGCGTGCTGGGAGAGGAAATCGGGATCGTTCTCGAACTCTTCCTTGACCTGCGGGTTGTTAGCGTCTATACACACGCGAAGTTGCTCATGATGATAGACTTACGATATCAAGACCGCCTACTAGCTCACCATCCGCCCACAGTTGTGGGAAAGTTGGCCAGTCGGCGAACTCCTTCAGTCCTTGGCGAACCTCGTCGTCGGCCAAGATGTTGAAGAAGCCGTACCTTATACCCTTCTCGCGCAGAATCGCCACTGTCTGCCGACTGAAGCCACACTGCGGCGAGCTTGGTGTGCCCTTCATGAACAGCATAACTGGCGCTGCCTTGACCAATTCGCCTAGCCTCCTGTGTAGTTCATCCTTGTTTGTCTGTTGTTCGCCTTCTCGGTGCTCGCCCGCGCTGTAGTCGGGTGCGGTCTTGGGGTCCTGGGAGCCAGGCGCGTACCCAGCGAGGTTCTTGCCTGTACTATCCCCGTTCTCCTGTGGTCGTGTGACGGTTTGCGCGGGTGGTAGACTCGAGGATTGGCCGCTGCCGGCGCCAGCGTACTTTTCGACTGCGGCTCGTACTTTGGATGCATCTGAGCCCGACACTGTCTCCAGGGTCTTGCCATCTTTCTGTAGAACTATGTATGGGACCGCTGTGACGTCGTATTGCTCGGAGACCTCGGGCAGCTCTTCGGCGTTGAGGGAGAGGAACTTTATCGGCGCATCGGCGGGGTATGTGCTGGCGAGCGTCTTCAGGATGACGCCCATCTGCTCGCATGGCTTGGCCCATGGCGCGTGGAAGTAGATGATGGCGAGGGTGGAAGGTGGGAGCGCGGATACGGTCGACTGGAAAGCCGACTCGTCGGGCATCTCCTGCATGGTAGCCATGATGCTAATCGTATGTCGAGGGAGGGGCGGTCAATCGAGTGTAGCGGACGTGTAGTTGCCTGGCTGGTCTATGGACGTAGTTCGTCGGGGTTGTGGGGTGTATGCGGCAAGAGTGCTGGTAAGAAGTCTGGAATGATGGTATGATCTGATTAATATTTAGTTGCCGCCCGAAGCAAAGCGCCTATGAAATCACGTCAGAGGCCGAATTGCGGAATCACCCCGCCATGGCCTGCTTCTCCGTTATCAGATCGGCGAAACGTGTCTCCGGCGCCGTTGATCCCGGGAACTTTTTTGTTAGCCAAGATTTCGGCACCCGCAACCAACCCAGATAACAACGACAAGATGCTGAAGACGGTGTACGTAAAGACGACTATCGCTTCTGCGTGCTTGAGCGACTCTAACATGACACTCTAGCAAACCCAAGAATGCCCGCGCCAAGCGCGCAATGGCAAAGCGCGAGCCGCAACAGAACGAGAACCCCAAGACGACGCTCTTCGTCTCTGGCCAGAAGACGTCGCAGATCCTCAAGCTCGCCGTCGCCGACCTTTGCACAATCAAGCGACCCTTCATCGAGCGCTTCACCAAGAAGAACGACATCCACCCCTTCGACGATGCGACTTCGCTCGAGTTCTTCTCCCAGAAGAACGACACCTCGCTCCTCGTCCTCTCTCTGCACTCAAAGAAGCGACCACACTGCTTGACACTGGCAAGAACATTCTCATACAAGATGCTGGACATGCTGGAGCTGTACATCAACGCAGAGACTTTCCGGACGCTGCAGCAATTCAAGAACAAGAAGCCTTCCATCGGCCTCAAGCCACTAATCAGCTTCCACGGCACCGTCTTCGAGGACCCCAACCAAACCAAATACACACTAGCCAAGAGCCTGTTCATCGACCTGTTCAAGGGCCAAGACGCAACCGAAGTCGACGTCGAAGGCCTCCAATACCTCATCTCCGTCTCCGCCGAAGAACCCACCGACGCGCTCCCCAACCCGCAAATAAAACTCCGCTTCTACCTTCTCCGCACCAAGCGCTCAGGCCAAAAGCTACCGCGCATCGAAATCGAGGAGATGGGCCCGCGCATGGACTTTACCCTCGGCCGCGAAATGTTCCCTGACCCGGATATGATGAAGCAGGCGCTGAAGAAGCCCAAGGGTGCTGAGCCGCGCACCAAGAAGAACTTCGACACTGATATGATGGGTGACAAGGTGGCCAAGGTGCATCTTGGCAA